TCCACAGTGTCAGGCACATTTCAATGCAATAAACAATCATCAACAACCACTATTCAGTGCAACTATCTGAGTCAGCACATACATTTAGATCTATAGATATACTCTGGTCTATATCTTATCTAATGAAACCGCATTAAATTAAATATCCAGTAAACAGTCACAAATGATGACGTTAACAAGATATTGAATTTGTCTCCCCACTTATCCTTCTTCTTCCTCATGCAGCTCGATAGGTGTTATGCCGTAGAATGTATCCCCTGCATCCCATCCACTCATTAGATTCTTAAAGTGGAAGAAAATGATCTCATATTTAAAAAAAAAAAAACATGAGTATTGATCATGACAACATGTCAAAAAGAGCAGCAAACTTTCGTTCTGTTTTTAGGTATTTAAAAAATGCACACGCAGAGGTTTACTTGGGTACATAAACTCTACAGTAAACTGTTAAGGTAGAGAACATTATATTTTCGGGGCAGCAAATATTCCGATTCAGAGGGCTATTGTTTTTGGCTTATCTGAATAGCCTGAATGAAATCATTAAAGGCACACGCTTTTGAATCTATCCAATGGTAAGGAAAACTTGGATTATTTCGCCTTGTTGTGTACTTTCAACCGCGCTCCTGTCAGGGGGTGCATTCTACGGCAGGGGTGCATTCTATGGCACAACACCTGATGCTCTCTGTGTCCTCTCTCTGTCCTACTGCTGCTGCGGTGGCACGGCTGACCAGGTGATTTATTTTAGTGATCAGATTAGTTATTTACTTTAAAAATTTGTACAAAAAAAGAAAAGAAAAGAAACTTTCACTCAAAATTACCTATTTATCTGATTTTCTCACATCATTAAGATTCTGTAAATATTCAATCCGGAGTCAGGCCCACATACAAATATTATAATATTCAGTTTTGTGAGCCAAATTTATTTATATGCCAACATCTATGAAAGAAAGAGCCAGGCCACGGAGCGCGATGCGTCCTTTACACACAGGTGGTTCTGATTTTAATGCCATTATTGGAATTTATGTCATGATCTGTGCGCACAACCCACCTTTGCTATGTGGGGTCTGAATATATGCAACTTTATGTGAGTGTCTTTATTTGTGGAAAAGGGTGTTTGTCTTACCAGTGGGTCCAACCTTACACACACCAAATCCATCTGTGCTCGTTTGAGAGAGTGTGGAGGACGCCCTCTGTGGTGCATACAGCGACACTTGTTGAGAAGCTGCCTTCTGTCGCCATCATGTGGCATTGCTGTCTTCAGACATCTGTTGATCTCTTCGACTACTGCAAGAAAATTGTAATACGCCTCGCCGGTGGTAGATTTAAAGGCGAGGAGAGGAGCTTATGTTATTGGTCAATACAGGTCTCGGCTGTGTTAAACCCATTCCATACCTTCTCTCCTCCTTCCCTACGACTTACGCCACTGGGAGGAGCTGAGTTAGGGAGGGGCTGCGCCGATCACCAAAATACCAAAATGTGCTTGGGAATGCCTTGTTGGTGCAGCGGACCTGACCTATGCCACACCTGTGCATCGCCACGGCGAGGCACGATAATAGAGCCCACAATGTTTTATTTTGAAATACCGGATGACATGGGCAGTTTTCGTGCTTGACTTCCTATCCAGAATGATCTTCTCTGTTTAGATTGACATGCATTGGAAGCATAGAGCAGCAAAAATAGACTGCTCCGTGCTGCGTCCTGTATGCTTTGCTGCATTGATAAGAATGGCAACCTTTTTGCTGCATAATACGTGTAATTCGCATCCTTTATGTTTTTGCCTTTAGGGTTAAGGCAGCTTGCAGTTTGAAGCTGTAAAACTGTTATGCAAAACGAACAAAACTGTGCCGCCCTCACCCTGGCTCCACCCTCAGTAACTGGAACTGTACTGTAACTGAATATATATATATGTATATATATATATACTGTAGGTGTGGACGTCCCTGAGGTTTTTAATTCTCTCAACATCAAAGTGTTGCACCAGGCCTTCTCCTCCGTTCTTCAGAGGTCAGATCTGGTCCTTTTCTGACTCTCCCCTCCTGTTGTTCTCAGTAGAAAAACTCGATGAAGGACTCACTGCTGGAAAAGTGTCTTTGAGCAGACACGCTGCTGAAGGTTGAGCACGCATTCTGTTTTTTCCTCTGCTGGTCGGCCTGCCTCTTTATTTAAAAGTTGACCTTGTGAAAATGAGAGGCTGCTCCCTGAGGCCTCAGAGCTCTGGGTCAAAGCAGACTGCATCTCATCCTCTGAAAACTGATCCTCAATAGATGCCACATGAAGAGCTGCTGTACTCTGCAGAGCTCTTCCTCCAGGGACTGAGATCAGTCAGAGCTTCATGTGGATGCGCTCATGTGCATCAGGAGGAAAAGACGCAGTTTGGAGTAAACCAGTTAGAGTATGACCTGATTCTGAACACCTTCACAGAGTAACTCAGAGATGCTGTTGAAATGAGATTTATTGTTTGTTATTGTTGTTTATGTTCTGCTCAGTAGCAATAGACACTCTCTTGACCTTGCGAGATATTTATTTTATACTGAGTCTCTTCTTTCCCTAATTCAGCTCTTATATTGATCAGTGTCATAACAATAAAGATATTAGGGGAAAAAAAGCAAGAATGTGATTGGCTTCCTGTCTGAGAGGGAGCCTGATGAAGAGAAATCCTCTTATTTTCTGTAATAATTACAGTGAAGCAGATCTTGTCAGAGACAGGTTAGAGCAGAAAGAGGCTGATCTCTCTGTTTCTCTCTTCTTTTATTGCTAATGTCTGCCTTTCATACATACAGAAACAATGCTCTCACTGTTCTGAATAATTCTTTAACATGCTTCACAGTGTACCAATCCTGTGCTGGATCTATGAGGAAAGTGAATTCCTCACCAAGTTTAGTGTTCAACCTCTGATGGATCTGCAGACCTTTATTTTTTTTAAATGACTGCTCACTGCCTCTAATTTCAGCTTCATACAAAGAGATATTTGAAAGTGTCATTTAATTCTCCAAACCCCAACATCAGTACAGTCTAAAAGTTATTCAGGATGACTGCTGACTCTGACTGTCAGGAGTCAGTCATTTGCAGGGGCAGCTTTCTTCACATCACTGTGTTGAAAGTGCTTAAAACTCAGAGACCAGGCTGATGATTGACCTGACTCCTGGTGATAGGTGCAGGCTCTGAGCAGCAGAGACAAGAAACTGAGAAAGAACCAGCACATTATCACATGGTTATCATTACAACAGAGTGCCACTTTTGACTACTAGATGGATAATTCAGGTTTCTAAAGACAAGGAAATGTGTGCTACATAAACTGACCCGGGGGTACATGAGCCCTAGAGAAAGGGGAATAGGTGATGCAGATTATGAGAGGGTAAACTGAAGTATGGTAATACTCTGATGCCTTTGATGAATTTTATTTCATTAAATACCAATTTATTCATAGACCTAAGACATTAAAATCACTAAATTATGCATATTTTTGGACACATTATAACATTTTAGGACATATTTAATAATTAAACTGAAGTAACATAATGTTAAAGTCCACCAAAGCCTCTAAAATCACAGAGGTTTCCCTCATTTACAATCACATCCAGATGCAGTTTAAATAAACCCAAGTTAACCAAAGCTGCAAAAAGGCTCAGAAGTCAAAAGTTCATTTTCCAAGTTAAATGTAAATGTGGTACCTGAAGAGTCAAATAGTGAGTTTGACAGGGTCAAGTAGTCCAGTTCAGACAGACAGTATCTGCAGAAGCAGAAGTCCAAGCAGGGATCCATAGGTAATAAGATACAAATGTCTATCAGGCCAGCCAACTGTTTTGTACAGAATACATGAGTGTCAGAGATATCTCCAGCTATAAAGCCAAAGGCTGAGTGATGGACCGAGTTCAGTTCCTGTTGAAATCAGCAACCAAATGAGATTATCTAAGAACAGTATCAATAAGGATTGGGACCATTAGGGTGTCTGTAATGGTATCAAAACCAACAAAAACTAACAATCCTCATCCCCGTAGAGTCTCCTTAGTGCCTGCTGCTTCTGGACCTCTATGTGTCCCATAAAATCACACAGCTCAACTAAACCAACAAATACTGAATTCATTTACCCAGAAGGATTTAGTTCTTCCAACTACCCCTAGTTTTAGTGTTCTACTGGAATAGACAGCACAGTTTTAGGGTTCCATTACTTTGGAAATCTGATTATTGAGAGATGCCCAGGAAAGGTGTATGGCATGCTGTGGTGGAGTATACCTCCAATTTAGGCCCAGGTCTGAAAGGGTTTAATTAATCTCAGATATTTAGCGTTCAAATCAAAATGTTTTATTTGCAGTTATCTTTGCTTTATGAGGTGAACCTTGTCCATAAGGAGCATTTTGTGTTGAGTTTATCAGTGATTCAGTGTGTTCACAGTTCAGGTAGCTGTGAGTTATGATTGATAAATAAATAAACTGAAATCAATGAATCTATTTACTATTCCTTATATCTCCATGTTAAGAGCTGAGTAAACCATGTGTAATCTCGCTCTAAGGCTCCATGCAGGCCTGAAGATTAGGAGTACCACATCATACTCAGAAAGATCAAAGGTTTTTTTCCTTTCATTTTTCAGGCCTGGTCTCCACGTGTAAAAAGGCAGCTATAATCTCAGCACAGTGATGCACAAAATTTATGGTATACTGTATACATGTTTGTTTTCAGGACAATCTGGAGAACCAGAATCTCTGTTTTACAAGGATTTCAGAGAAAGTTCATAATAATTAAAACACTTTAAAAAAAGATGAATAAAAGCAAAGATTAGATTACTTAAACCTAAATTTAGATTAAATGCAGCATTGCTGTGGCATTTGACTTTGTGTATTTGTGATCAGAGGGAAATAAAAAAAAAACCACTAATAAACACTGCCAAAATAACTGATCAAAATTTCAGCCATTTATCGGAGTAAGAAAGGTTCACCTAAAATGTTAACTTTGTCAACAACAACAACAACAACAACAAAAACCAGGAATCACAGTCAGTGGGGATGCTGCCCTAATCAGATGTTTTGTTTAAGGGAATTATCATTGTGGATGTGTTAAAGAACCATTTGAAAGGTTTATTTACAGATACACAAAGATTTGTTTGATCTACATTGCTTGAATCAGAGAGAGGATTGGACTCTGCTCAGTCACAGCTGACTATCACCGTTCTGCCTCAAAAGAAAGACATCCATCATTAGGATCCAAAGGGGGTTTACACTCAGAGGATCTGGATGTCTCAGTCCAAGCTGGTCTCCTCATACAGAGCTTAGAAAGAAATGAGGACCACAGTGACCCTGGACTCAGGTTTACACTCTGCTCCACATTTCCTAGGGAAGAAACAAAGAGAAACATCAGAGGAAACTGAATTATTTCAGAGGATGAGGGATGGAAGAGAGGAGCAAAAATCAGATCAGAGCAGGAGAGCAGACCTCCTGTGAAATCTGCCTTTCATGGACTTTAACGTGTTTACAGAGAAGAGCAGGTATCCCCCAGAGAAAGCCCTCCGATCTGACTCTCATTATGACTCACACACATCAGACTGTGGAGTGGATCCATCATTTTGTCACCCATTTCTGCATTCATTCAAAGCTTTTGAAGACCATTGTTTTCTACTGAATTTGTTTGTATTTGTATTAAAACCTGCTGGCACTTTTTTATTCAGGCACCTCTGTCATGGCCCCATCACATTTTCTATCCTCAACCCCCCTCCCACCTGTCTTCAGAGTAATGCCTGCATATAAATCAGTCTAGAGGATCTCTGAGAATGTTAGGGCTTTAGGAAATAACATGTTTTATTCCACCCAAAAAGTCATTGAAGCAGAGCTTTAGGGAACAAAGAGGTCTCTGATGGTCTTCTTGGTGGGCTCTGCAGAGAGGAACACTGGACTGTAAGATTAAATTGAGGATTAGTGTGGGATTATCACAAGTATGGCTGGTAAAAAAAAGAGCCATGTGTGAGCTGAGATGCTCTGCTGTAAGGTTGATATTCAAGAGCTGGTCTTTACAATCCCAGCTGGAAATTGCAGATTCATGGATTTTCCACCCAACACAGATTGGAGTCAAAAGTTTCATAAATATGCTGATTAAAATCATGTTTAAAGTGAAGCTTTGTTGTGACACCCTGCAGCTTATTTCCTGATTATTCAGGATTAATTATTCATACGTTCTTAGGTATGTGAGTGTGAAACTGTCGAAAATAGCTGATACGTGCTGGTTATGTTTTCCTTACTTCCTGATTGATTAAAGTCGAATCTCCAATACCTGTAGGGAACCTTCAGCTAACTATCAGCAGATGATGAACCAGTTCTTATACATCTTTTTGATCTACAATTGACTGCATAGGAGATTTATTACAAATAACAGATGGTGTTTTCACCAGCTCATTACTCTGAGACAGGATCTGAATATAAAATGTCATGCAGATCAATAAAAACTTGTATGACAGTGCTCATAACTTCTGGATCAATATTTGTGTGAAAACAGACACAGGGCTCTAATTTCATGCCTCCTTGTTGGCGTGGCACAGGTGTGGTGCAAGAAGGAAAGAAGGAGGAGAGAAGGCTTGGAGTGGGTTTAACACTCCCAGGTCCAATTTTCACCTATCACATCATCTCCTCTCTTCACCTATATATGTGCCACCAGCGAGGTGAAATTTATGAAGTAGTCTAAAAGATGACTGAGGAGTGGAGGCAGTCCCTCAACAAGTGTCACACTAAGCGCATCAGAGGACGTCACTTCCTCCACACTCTCTTAAATGACCACAGAGGGATTTAGTGTGTGTAAGGTTGGACCCACTGGTAAGACAAACACCCTATTCCACAAATAAAGACACTCACATCAAGTTGCATATATTTAAAACCCACGTGACAAAGGTGGGTTGTGCGCACAGATTACAACATAAACAAATGCCATGCAAATTTGCATTAAACTTGGAACTCAAGACCTGGTGGGTGGGATTCCAAATGTTGGAGTGGAGGACAGTAGCTAATGTTACTAACTTTACTGCTTCCTACCCCGGAGCCATCCACTGAACCCGCCTTTCCCAGGTGGCCGTCAAGGCTACGCATGAGAGGCAGACGGCTCTCAGGCTCCATTAACAGTGTGTGGTGTCCAGCTAAGGAAGAGGAGGAAGAGGTGGTGATGGCACGAATTAAATATTGTGTTTAACATCATTGTGTGTGTTTAGGATATTTAGTTTTATGCAGTTTCAGCTGTGTTAATTCAGTCAGGTTGAGTGTCCATTACAATAAGAATAAGAATAACTTTACTAATCCCCGAAGGAAAATTCAATTGTCTGTTGTCTCACATGATATGTCTACATATATTCATAACACATCATAATATGATACAAGTGCTTAACACTAAAATGTTCCAGCTGCGCTCACACATGGCGGCAACTTAGTGCATTTAGGCATGTAGACATGGTCAAGACAATCTCCTGCAGTTCAAACCGAGCATCAGTATGGGGAAGAAAGGTGATTTGAGTGACTTTGAACGTGGCATGGTTGTTGGTGCCAGAAGGGCTGGTCTGAGTATTTCAGAAACTGCTGATCTACTGGGATTTTCACGCACAACCATCTCTAGGGTTTACAGAGAATGGTCCGAAAAAGAAAAAATATCCAGTGAGCGGCAGTTCTGTGGGCGGAAATGCCTTGTTGATGCCAGAGGTCAGAGGAGAATGGCCAGACTGGTTCGAGCTGATAGAAAGGCAACAGTGACTCAAATAACCACCCGTTACAACCAAGGTAGGCAGAAGAGCATCTCTGAACGCACAGTACGTCGAACTTTGAGGCAGATGGGCTACAGCAGCAGAAGACCACGCCGGGTGCCACTCCTTTCAGCTAAGAACAGGAAACTGAGGCTACAATTTGCACAAGCTCATCGAAATTGGACAATAGAAGATTGGAAAAACGTTGCCTGGTCTGATGAGTCTCGATTTCTGCTGCGACATTCGGATGGTAGGGTCAGAATTTGGCGTCAACAACATGAAAGCATGGATCCATCCTGCCTTGTATCAACGGTTCAGGCTGGTGGTGGTGGTGTCATGGTGTGGGGAATATTTTCTTGGCACTCTTTGGGCCCCTTGGTACTAATTGAGCATCGTTGCAACGCCACAGCCTACCTGAGTATTGTTGCTGACCATGTCCATCCCTTTATGACCACAATGTACCCAACTTCTGATGGCTACTTTCAGCAGGATAATGCGCCATGTCATAAAGCTGGAATCATCTCAGACTGGTTTCTTGAACATGACAATGAGTTCACTGTACTCAAATGGCCTCCACAGTCACCAGATCTCAATCCAATAGAGCATCTTTGGGATGTGGTGGAACGGGAGATTCGCATCATGGATGTGCAGCCGACAAATCTGCGGCAACTGTGTGATGCCATCATGTCAATATGGACCAAGCTCTCTGAGGAATGCTTCCAGCACCTTGTTGAATCTATGCCACGAAGAATTGAGGCAGTTCTGAAGGCAAAAGGGGGTCCAACCCGTTACTAGCATGGTGTACCTAATAAAGTGGCCGGTGAGTGTATATTCATAACACATCATAATATGATACAAGTGCCTAACACTAAAATGTTCCAGCTGCGCTCCACCTTTACCGAAAGCTGACTAGATTTAAACTGGCGAGCTTTCAACGCACTCTCTGCATCGCTCTGCACAAATTTGTCAATACACCAGCTGCGTTGACACCTCCCCGTACTGCGCTGCCCTGCCCAGCTTGGCACATCTCAGTGCGCCTCAGTCCACAAATTTACCAAAGTGGCTGCACGAGGGGCTATGCTGCACTAAATTACCACTGTGCAGGGTGAGCCCCGTGCTGCACCGCCAGAGGGCACGAAATTAGAGCCGATGCAGTTTATTCCTCTTTGCTTGGTTCATATCTGTTAATGTAGCAGCTCCTCTTCCTGGGGTCCACATGGATGAAGTTTAAAGATCTTGAAGTGCCATCATACTGAGACTTGCCTAACTGTTCTGTGCAGACTCAAGAGTTCTCACTCCAGAAGTGGAGTTCATAAATGTGTTTCTAGGAGGCTGGGTGGTAAACAAAACTGTAACAGCCGAAGAAAACACTGAAAGATGAAACTGGTGTCATCATTAAAACAAGAGTTCAGAACTGTAAAAGTGACAGTGTTTCCATTGTTCCTCTCCGCAACATTGTCTTGAACGTACAGACCTATTTTTATAGGTAAAGGTCGCATAGATGAGCCCATAGCCTGAAATCGATCAGCTTTAAAGCTCAGATCAGGAAGATGAGGCATGCCAGGTCACTCTAGTTTTGTTCAGTTATCTATGGAGAGTAGCAGCAGACTGCACACTAAAGCTACATTAAAATCACCACTCCAGGCTGGCTGATGTTGACAGTGTTGAAAGAGTAATGCTCTTTTCATTTTTCCACCAAAGTTGGATGTTTGAAATGGGAGTTTCAGCCTGTTAGAGCAGCAGTCAAAGGCCCAGGCTGTCTGCTTGTTATGGCAGCTTGAATCTGATTGTTTCTGACATTTAAAGACCAGATGCTTGTTTGGAGGCAGCTGTTTCAAACACTTCACTTCATTGTTGATCTTGTCTATTTTGTTATTGGTCAGCAGCATGTGAACTGATATTTTTGTTTGAAAAAAAAATGCAAAATAAAAAGTCCCGGCATTGTTTTCTGCTTAAATTGGGAGTGATTCTGCTTTAAGAATTTGCCATTCAGGACTTTGTTTCCAGTTGAGCTGAGGGGATTAAGGGGTCCCTCTCTGATCTCACACAAAGACTCATTAACTGAAAAAGAAGATATTTATCAGCATAAGATCAACAGAAAGAGACTGCATCGAGTGAGCTCCCACTAAACTGTGATATAAGTTAGACAAATATTCCCTGTCACAGATGGTTATGGCGTTGTTATCATTAACTTCTTTAATTCTGACTCCCTGGCTGTTTGCTCTATGGCTGGCACTTCATGGCGCTCATACATGTAAGTGCACGTGCTTTTTACTCCATCCTCTGGGCTCTGGATAAGGAGATTATCTGAGCATATTGAATTCATAGATCATTGTTGCTGCTGAAACTTCAAAGTACCGTTAATATTCTGTTTCTGGAGAGCAGTGATCTCTTCTCTGTTATTACAGCAGTGTTCACAGGAGAAAAGGGGCTCTGATGGAGATCTGACAGACATGTGGAGCTGCTGACTTTCCTTATAATCTATAAAAAGAGAGAAACTGATCTGTGTTTGTTTCTGGATAAAGAAATGCTCATAAACAGCTACTCCTACACTGACTGCTCAGTCTGGACTTTAATCAAGAAAATGATCAGGTTATCCAGGTGCTGATGTGATGGTTCAAGTCCACTTAGAGGGAAAGATCTTCAGAGGATCAACAGCTTTGACAGTAAGGTTTGTCTGATTGCTGAAAGGATTTACTGCTGTGCTTCACTGAAGACACGGATTGACAAACAGCTCCACGTCTCACCCCCCCCCCCCCCTTTTTTTTTTCCAGAGGAATCTATAAAACAGACTTCAGTAAAAAAAGAGCTCACTAAAAAACACTCAGGCATATGTCAAGGACAGAGTGTTGAGCTGTTCAGATTTATTTTTCAATGAATAATAAAAAAGGATAAAAACTTTACCACAGTTCATTGTGATCTCACCTGCTGACTCTATCATACCAGAACGAGACTCCTAAAATTCAATAGGACTGCACAATTTGGGAAACATCTAATGTGAGCTTAAAAACACAATAAATTATACCATTTAAGATCACTGTATTTGAGGTATTTTTAACAATCCAATACATTTTCAGTTTTATAGTCTGTCTGCATTTTAACTCAAATCCCTCAATACTCAAATATAGGCTATGTCCTTTGTTCCCTTTTACTGCCATAGGGATCAGGTCTCTGTATGAGACAGACCTCAATATCCAATCTTCTCTGTCTGAAAACTTTAAGTCTGTGTCAGCATAAAGTAAGGAGTGAATTTTGTACTTGCTAAACATGTGTGAATGAGCCAAAAACACATTTTCAAAATCATAGAACACAAATGGTCCAATGTTTCTCAAACTGCAGAGCAAATAGTCACAGTGTAAAAGTGCTGTTTGCATACATTCAAATTAGCCCTAATACATTTAGTTGGAGTTATATGTACAGTACCTCTTTGCCAGTGAGTTACAAAAACATCCATTGACCCCTTGTATATTATGTGTGACACTGCCTCCAACAGCTAGAAAAAGAACTAGTGAGAACTTTTTTATTCTGAATACAAGTTATTTGACAACAGTCACCTTTACACCACTTGACCAGGTGCAGTTCCAACCAGTCTTTGTCAGGTCCTGTGCTCCTGGTGTCAGCTTAGGTCAGAGAGGCAACTTATGCTGCATTCAGGTGATGTTGTAGAGATTGGAAAAAGGAGTAATGCTCCTTCATGCCTGCTCAAGTCAGAGTTTGGAAATTGTGGCAAGATTCTGATGCCTAACTTGCTGACTTGACTGCAGTTGTTGCTCTGTACTCTTCTTCTGTCTTTTGTCCATTTCCTGTGCAGCATTACAGCACCACTTACTGGCTTGGCATATGCACTACATCATTTTGAGTGGTTTTGTTTTGAGAGGTGATAGAAAAATTTATTTTTAAAGTGAAGTTTAATGAAGTAGACACTGAATAAAAAAATCAAAATCGTGCAGCCCTAGTTGAAAGTTTAAAACGGTATTTAACCCTTAATAACAAGTCAGGTATATAGATTAAAACCATATTAGTATCTATCAGCATTCAAGCTTCATTGATTGAACAGACAGGTGACATTCAACCCAACTATTTAGATCCTTGGGTCATGTTTTACACCCCAAGGCATGAAGAAGCATATCAGGACTATCCATTTATGCAGAATAAGTTTGATCTTTGACTAAAGTAGTCCATGTCCAGCTGCTGCACATGGTCTCAGATGTTCCAGGTCTCCAAGCAGAGTTAAAAACAAAACATCCTCTCAGATCTTCACTCAGATTTTTTAATGTAAATTGTGATGAACTGTATCTCAGGATGTGTTTTCAGGACATGTGTGCGAGAGTGTAAACTTTACCTGAAGGTCATTTCTAAACTGAGAGGAGCAGAAGAGCAAAGAGGGAACAGATAATGTCATTCTCTTGAAATGTCTGGGTAGTGAACGTGTTGAGTTCAGGGCAGAGCCTCACACCGTCCCTCTACAAAAGAACTCTGTACTCTGTTTCATGGTATTGATCCAGCTCCTTTTTCTGCCTCATTCTTGATTATTTTCACTCAGGAACTTAAAGGAGTTCAGAGGATTTACAACATTGTTTAGAGGAGGAACTAACAAACCACAGAAGTGTGCAGAGGAACAGATTGCACTTATTGTTGCTTTTATTGATGTACTATTTGCTCTGTTTTATGAATACAATGTGTGTAGATCACATTGAGAAAATACTGATGAGATTTCAAGTGAATTTAATTCTTCTTAAATCAGCCTGCTTCTATAGAGAGAGTGGGAAAGACAGGGAGAGAAAGGGAAAGAGAGGAACTCAGAGAGCCAGTCACCCTAGCAGCCCAAGGCCTACATAAAATCAGCCCCATTAGAAACAGAAAAGTCCTTCTTTCACATTTAAAAGAGAATCAGCCTTCACATGGCAACAGAAAGATGACTGAAAATGCTGAATTATGCGTCACAGGTAAGGAGTTTTTTTCAGCATAACTTTGTACCAGAACAGCACACCACGAGTGACTAACCGAACATGGAGAGCAGACCTTAAAACAGAGATAACTTATTGACAAGCTTCATACAATCAGCAGCACAAACAAACCAGTGCTAACAGTGTTGTGAAGCCACTGTTCCCAAGGGATCTGTGTCTTCTTCACACATTTCCATAGCACACTTTAGGGGGGGGGTCTGCTCCCCATACATAGACCAGTAGATGATTTCAGAGGAGAGGGGCCAAATAACTGAAAGCTCTACCACCTAGATCACTTTTAGAGACTTCAGATATGAGTAGGCCTTCACGCTGGGAGTGCAGTGATCTGTGAGACATCATTAGCTCTTTGAAACACTGTGCTGTCTGACCATTAGTGCTTTGTAGGTCAGAAGAAGGATTTTATTCAAATTTATGTAAAGCCAAAGCTTCAACAGGGGAGATGTGCTCTCTTTTTGTACTTGTACTCAGTACTCAAGCTGCAGCATTTTGGACACACTGAAGAGACTTTAGAGACTTATTAGAAGGAGCTTGAGCAAAGAGAATCACAATAATCCAGCCTAGAGGTGACAAATGCATGGACTTGTTTTTCTGCATAAAACATACAGAGTTTCCTGACAGCACTGATCATCCTCCACACACATACATTACGTGCAGCAGCACACCTGTCTGTGTGCCTTCACAGTCATGTCAGGTCCACCTACAGGAAATGGGCTTTAAAGTCTTTTCAGTATAAAAACAGAGTCTCATACTGAGAGTTAAGCAGCACTTCTCAGCATGAACTCATGTGATTTGTTACAAGTTGTCAGGATCAGGGCCGATCCAAGTATATATGGGGCCCTTAGCAAATATTATTTGGGGGTCACTGCTTCTTGTCCTCTGGTTACTCTGTCTGTCCTTTTGGACTCTTGAATAATATATTTATTTTTGCAACCTTTCTTTTCTTTACTGAATCTGATCAAAGGACAACAACCCATCAATACCACAGCTGACCTGCAGCTGTCAACAGTCCTTATTGGAGGAATAGTCTGTTCTGATTGTTGGATAGGGTAAGGGATGAAAGGTCAAACCCAGTCAAAAAAAACTCAAGTGTCAGCGACTGCAGCTTGTCCTTCTGGTTGACCTCTATGCAGTTTACACATGATATAATGTATTGTATGTGAATATGGTACCGCAGTGGCAATGGGAGCACCAGCTCTGCCCCCTGGAGGCAGCAGGGCCCTTAGCAACTGCATTTGTCACTCATGCCTTGGGGTCTCTGGGCAGGATGGAGTTTGCAATGTTGTCTCTAAAGAGAAATATCTGAAATTCTATCAATTCTGACCCACAGAACAAACATTCTAGTGAGCACCCCCCGGAGGTCAGTCATATATCCTTCTGTTTGGTAAATAAGAAAACACTGAAAGCACATCACAGTTCTGCATGAAGAGGAGACGTTGCACAATCATCAAGCTGCAGATAAACTCTGGTTTCAAAGGTTTCACAGTTTATAAAACAATAACAACAGAAAAAAATAGCATATAGATTAATCTTGATGTAAATGTGTATGTTTGAGCACAAATAACAAGCTCATGCCTGTTTGTGTTTTCCTCCTCTCACTGTTAAAAGTGATGCATGCATTAGTTTAAACTTCCACAAATGTGACAGAAAAAAAAATACTCATGAGGATGTCAATGTTAACACTATTTTTAAAAAGACTTTTGATATGAGTTTGTTTGATGTTTCTTTCCTCCACTACTTCTAACTGCCAAACTAAGATATAAAATATTTCCTTTATACAATAACTCCAGTACCTCTGGAGCCCAATTAGGCCAAAAATAAAGGAAGGCGAAACACAGCACAGAGAAAAAGAGATAAGAAGCTGAATTCAAAGTGGTTCACCTCTATGGCTGCAGGCTGTTTTACATTCTCAACGCCGGCTTCGTTTGCAGCCCCTGAAAGATCTCTCAGAGGATCAGAGTCTCAGGAGAGGGTGGGGGAACAAGTATATTTTTATTTATGGAGATCATTTTGCCTGTTTAAATGTTACCATGTTTTAGCACTTTTCACTTGTCCTTTTTATTTTATCATATATTTATGCATTTCAGAAGGATGAGACATCAGTGGTAGACACTGTCTAAAGGCTGAATACAGCAAGGTTTTCAAAGGGTCCGCTCTGGTAGTTTAAAAACGGAAAAAAGTCTAGTTTAAAATCTGTAAAATGAGCACCCTTTTAATTGAGTTAAACTGAGTCAACTCTAGGCTTTTAGTATATAACATCATAGAAACATGTCTGAGTAGACTACACTGACCTGACCCAAAGACATAGATATAAGAATCCGGGAACTTTAAATTCTTCTCCTGCTCTTTTATTTCTTATGGTAAAGATTGTGGTTTTGCCCAACTCCGGAATAGCTGTATGAGATATACTGTCGAGAACTTCTCCTTAGAGTGGTGACCATTAAAGCCACTGTCCATACAATAAATAAAATCAATGAGAGGCTGTAAGAGTTAATTACATTATTGAGTTTTTCATCTGTTGAATGGAGCCACATTTAATAGCATCTTATAACATCCTTTCAGGTTTGGATCTCAAGCATCAATCCCATGTTACCACATATAGGTAATATCCATTCAATCTTCCAGTGCTGATTGTGTACATTCAAATGAGCCATCATGCATTCATCTGAAGAAAAACACACGTTTCTGTGCAAATAAGCCACATTGATAGAACTAATAGCACTGCTGGAGTAATCATTTTTACTGTATGCTGAGACTAGTATTTGGAGGTGAGTGTTTATACCTAAAAATAATTCATCCATCCACAGTCCGTTACTCTTACCTCAATATTTGTACAATTAACAGGTTTCAATCTGTATGAGGCTCTACTGTATATACCAGCCAAGCCAATCCCAGCTAGATTTTATTTTATTTTATTGTGTTGCCAGTGGCGGCGGGTGAGAAAAATAGTAGGTGGGGCGGAAAGTTTGGAGATCAGAGCCCTGTAAGGGGGTCCGCCGGGAGATTTTTTTTTGGCTCTCACATGTAAATTAAGCATTCCCGTGCATTCTGAGAAAATAATTAAGGAAACATACAATCTTTGAGAAGGGCCCCCAGATCCTGAGGTTTTCTGAAGTGCTGGGGTTTACAGAAAAGTTGATATATTCAGCCTCTGTAGCAGATAGAAACACAATTCAAAAATTATTTGAGAGCTTACACATGTGGCTTTCAAGATAACTATCTTTTATTTTTCCTTCATCAGATTTTTGAAAACTTTGAACAAACAAACTCAAATGACATAAAGCGGCTGTATAAATAAAAGTAAAGACTCTGCACTGGAGAATAACAATAATTTGCTTTCTCTAAAACAAGTGGCAGTCATGATAAAGTGTCCGCTCAATACAAATGTAAAAATAAAAAAGTGTTGAAAGGGTATACAGCTGCCCTAGTATAGTGCCAGTACAAGACCAGCACTAAAAACAAATAAATAAATAAATATACTGACAGTGTGTTCATCTCTGTGCTCACCTAAAGTCATGCAACACTCACAGAAAACGCAGATAGTGTGAGCCAAAGCACTCAATATGAAGAGGTCGTTCACACTGCTGGACACTTCTCCAAAGAAGCTGCTCTCTGCCTCCATCATTGTTTACTTTCCTCACGAAGCAGTAGCAAGATCTGAGCATGAATCCGACTGCTTTATTTGCCTATCAGAGGCAGACGGGTATGATGATTTGATTCGCCATGATTCCAAAAATTATTAAAAAAAC